GACGCCTCCAACGCGGCCCGCGAGGGCCCCGACGCGCCAAACGAACGCTCCAAGACGCCCAAGATGGCCCAAAGACGAGCCAAGAGGCCTCCAAAACGGCCCAAGAGGCCTCCAAGAGCAGTCCTCAGAATGGCTTCAGAGCAGAAAATCGTCCAATTCCGATGGGAAAACGTACATTTTCATCATGTGCGACTTGTCGGCCTTCACGGCGTTACAGACGGTCCAAGAACACCCCATGACCGTCCCCAGGCGGCCCAAGAGGCCCCCAAGAGGCGCCCAAGTTGGCCCAGGAGGGCGCAAATGCAACCCAATGGGCCCCCAACGCGGCCCAAGAGAGCGCCGAGACGGCTCCAAGAGGGGCCCCAGAGGGGGAGCCCGAACCGATAATCCGAGCCTTCCGCTCCAAGACGGCCCTAGAAGGCCCCAAGAGGCCCCAGGGAGGCTCCCAGGACGCCCCCAAGAGGCCGCAAGAGGCGCCCACGACGCCCCAAAACGGCCCCAGAAGGGACGTCGAGAGGCTTCGACGCTGCCTCCAAGAGTCCTGCGAGAAGCCCCGCAAGAAATCCCAGCGATCACTGCGCAGGCGGGATTCGCGTTCCCGAAGCCAAGAACCCATAATCCATGACCCGGATCATTTCCCCCCCCTCTCTCCCCCCCCCCCATCCTCCTCGCCCGCCTTTTCCACCTCGGCCCCCCAGTGGCTTCAGAACTGCTTTCCACGAGCCCCCGAAAGGCGCGCCGCGAAATCCCGACGCACATACAAGAACCGCCCACCCATAGACCGCAACCAAGAGCCTCATCTCAGTGCCCCCTGCCCCCCCCTCCTCCACCCTCTCCTCGCCCCCCCCTCCTCGTCCCCCTCCTCTTGTTCCTGGCCCGCTTCACCTCGTCATCTTCGATGATTATCTCCCGTCTCCTCCGCCTCATCCCCCATATCCTGCCCCCGTTCTCCTTCCCCCCCCCCAGTGCCCGATTCGGCATCATTTGCAGGTCTTGGACTTCAGGGTGTTTGTTTTGCGTCGCGCGGGACATTGCGCGGGCCGGGGAACGCCGACTTCGGAAGTCTTCTCTTGCGCGCGCCGCTGCGCTGATACGCCTGCCAACCGCGGGCTGTGAACCCGAGTTCCTTGCAGCCTCCGCGCGCCACTTTCGATCCTTTCGCCGCTCGATGATCTTTCTCTCGCTTATGCTTCAAATGTCTCGTGTCCGAGAACGCTTCCCCGCGCGCCGCGCACGTCAACGGCTTCGCCTCCGCCTCGGCTTTTCGTTTGAGATTCCCTGCCTCGTAATTCGTCAGCAAAACCGCCTTCTCCCGTTCTTCCGCGCACTTCCGACACAATCTCTGGCCCGCTGCGTTGTGCTTCTTCTGGGCTTCCGACATATCCACCTTTTCGTCATGCAGCAAGAGGCACGCACCGTTCGTACATCGCACTGTTCCGACGCTCTCGTTCCACTTCGCATTGCCTTTCCGCGAATTCTGCTGGGCTTTGACATGGCTGCACTTTGCGCAACACATTGTCCTAATCCTTTTCGTCTCCCCGTCGTCCGCCGCTGAAGCCGAGTTCCGAACACTACCGCGCCGTGCCGCGTCGTCACCCTCTGCTCTCGCTGCCCACCCTCCGCACGGCCCCACGCAACCGGCCGTCCACCCCATGATGCCCTCAGGCCGCCACGCAGAACCCGAACAAACAAAAAAACAACGGGTCGGCGGATGTGGCGTAAGCCTAATGAATCGTTTCGTCTTTTTGCACGTTGATCATCTTGTTCTCGGCAGAGTTGGGGTCGCTCTTGCCGTCCGAGGCTCTCTCAGCGACAACTACTGCCATGGCCGCTTGCGTCTGCGCGCCACTTGCCTGCGCCAGCGCTACTGCTGTTGCCTTTTCCTTGGCCTGCGCGGCTGCCAGATTGCCTTGCAGACGAGGCACGGCCGCGATCAGCGAGGCGCTTGGCCCCGGCAACCCGACGGATCGCCTCCACGACGTTGACCTCTGCGGTGGACGTCGTGGTCTGGATGGCGTGCCTGTCGAAGTGGAATTGGAGGCTCTTCATCTTCAGCTCTGGGTCCGTCCTAGCGGACATGGCCTGGCGGAGGTGGTACTGCGCGTCGCCGCCCCTTGCCGCCCCTGGCCGCTGCCACGCCCGGGAGACGACGCACGACGCGGGAAGCCAGGCGGCGGCGGCCGCCTGGGCCCCGCTGATGGCACGACCTCGGCCTCGTTGCCACCGTCTGCATCGTAAGTGTCACCATCCTCCTGCTCAAACCGAACGCGACGAGACCGAAGTAGTTTGGGGTGCTGGTGGCACCCACTGCACACTGCCTCCTGTCGGAGAAAGATGGCGTTCCACTCGCGTTTGTTCCAAGTGGTGTACCTTGTCCAGAGCTTCTGGACGCCAGCCGAGATTGAGACTGAGATTGACGGTGAAAAGAAAAGAGACTGATATCCCGTCCGTTAGTCGGTGTGCGTTCTCGACTGGTGTGTGAACCCACGGGCGCTCTTTGGCAACCCCACGGGTTGGCCCCGAGCCCACATGGCTCGGACCCACATGGCTTGAGAGGAGGTGGAGGAGGAAGAAGAAGAGGAGGAGCAGGAGGAGGAGCAGGAGGAGGAGGAGGAGGAGAAGGAGGAGAAGGAAGAGGAGGAGGTGGAGGAGGAGGAGGAAGAGGAGGAGGAGGAGGAAGAGGAGGAGGGGGAACAGACGGCAGAAGAGGAGCAGCTGGAAGACGGCGAGATGGACCTGGCAAGCAGCGCGCCCATCCTGGCCAGGCGCGCCGCCCGTGCCCCATGAGAGTGCTATGCGCAGAAGGGCTGTGGGCCCTGACGCGTGCTCCGCGGAAGAGGAGACGAGGCCAGCAGCAGCGGTGGGGCGAGGGAGGACGCAGTTAAGACGAAGCCAGGACGAGAACAACTTCGGGCGAGGGTATTTCGAGCTGGGATCCGGCGGCTCTGGAGGATGTCTCGGGCGCCACGGCCCTCTCCGAGCGTTCCGGAACGCTCTGGAACGAACTATCCTCGTCCTAGCTCCGTCCGACGTGCTCCGCAGAAGAGCAGAAGACGAGGCCAGCAGCAGCGGAGGGGCGAGGGAGGACGCACTGCACGCGGGCAGAGAAACCCTGCTCGAGTTCGCGTGCCACTGGGTGCGGGCCTGTCTGTCGGGCGCCGGCCCTGCCTGTCGGGCGCCGGCCTGTGCCCGCCAGGTTCCAGGAAACGGGTGACGTGCTGTCTGGCGCGCGCCGCATGATCTGGAACACCAATGCAAGAGGGAGTGCGCACGTAGTCTCCCAGCGGGCCACATGCGGCGGTCGCGGAACATCCCAAAGTCAAGCGAGGGCGGCTGCTTCTGTAGCGAAACCGACGTGATGGCGGTCCTGCGCTTCTCGCCGGTCACGCTGCAGCCCGCAAACGGACCCCACCACCTCTGCCGATGCTCGGCTCGCGCACCTGCGGCGGGACGGCAGCTCTGCCGTTGGCGCACCGCTTCTGCTGAGCGAGGCCCTGGTTGGCATCCTACCATGTCCGCAAGTCGCCCGCCGCGACGGCGCCAGACGCCCGAGTCGGGGGGGGGCAAGGAGAGAGCAGAGGAGGGAGGAGCAGCCCTCCAGCGGATCTGGTGCCGTCTAGGGCTGTTCTTGGGACCTTTTAAATGGGCTGGCTCGGGGCCCTCTTACGCTCAGGAACTCTGGCCTGCCGTGCCCGCGGGTCGCCGCTTCTGGCCCACCACGCTTCGGGGCGAAGCGCTGACCGCGTCCCCGTCCCCGAGCTCCCAGGTCCCGAACCTTACCTGGCTCCGCACCACGCGGAGCGGAACGAAACGCCAGCCGCTTGTCGGGCATAGCGTGTCGCTGCGGCCGCCGCCGCGACACGCTAGGCACGCACAGATCTGACCGATTAGCCATGTCCTGCCTCGCGGGCCGTCTTGGTGCCCCCTGGGGATTCGATTTTCACCCCGAATAGTTGTTCCATCTAGGAAAACTGCCAAAAACCTACTGTCGTGCGTTTTTCACGACGCAAGGATGTCTGGGAAGCCTGGACCGTGCAAGGAAGCGTACCGATACATGTGCCCCATGAACCTCTCCCAAGGTGCGTGCGCTTCGACCAGATGTTCCAGGCGAGTCCAGTCGTGACGACGAGGGGAGAGGCCCAAAGAGGCAAAACGAGGCAAGGCCAGCGGTATCGCTACATTTTACTCTTAGGTCAGGCATGTCCTCCTACAGGCGGATTTTGGACGAAAGTTCAAAACATGGTCAGAACATGTTTTAGTATACTCCCAAATGGTCACACCACGATCGTCCCCAGACTATTTTTGAACTGATTTGGGATATCCCTCCTGTAGAGGGACACGGCCGACTTTATTTGTCACTCCTCCGAGGCGCAGGCCGCCTGGATCGAGACAAGCCGCACGCGGGAGGCCTGGCCCCCATGCGCCGCAGGGGCGGCGGCTGCAGATAGGAGGTGGACGTCGTCGCCGTCGTCGTCGTCCTCCTCCTCCTGGACTCCCCCCTCCTCCTCCTCCTCCTCCTCCTCCTCCTCCTCCTCCTCCTCCTCCTCCTCCTGGCCTCCTCCTCCTCCTCCTCCTCCTCCTCCTCCTCCTCCTCCTCCTCCTCCTCCTCCTCTTCCTCCTCCTCCTCCTCCTCCTCCTCCTCCTTCTGCCCCACCAGGCATGCTCGCGTCATGAAGGGCACAATGGGAAACTGTTGGGTCATTTTCGGCCTCAAGGGGCCCTCGCCAGACCCTGGGACCGTCAACAAAGGGAAGCTCGAAGAAACAACTGACCCTGGGGGAAAAGTCAGGACTTCCGAGGACCCCGTATTGAAAACACAAGACGTCGAGTGCTGGGGCCCTTTCCTTCCCGTACACCTTTACCTTCCTCCTCCGCATCCCTCTGGCCCCCGTCCCCATTCTAGTCCCCTCCTCCTGCTGCTGGCCCTCCCACGCACGTTCCTTTTCGTCCTGCTCTTTTTCGTGCTGTCCTTCCTCTCCCTTATCTTCCCTCGCGGGGTCCTGGCTGCCTCTCTCAGCTTCAATAGCTTCTTCTTCAACCGCACTGGTTCCTTCAGGACCTTGAAGCGGAAAGATCCCGGCGCGTCACCAAAACACGAAATGCTGTCGAGGATAACAGTTATGGTATGGAGCGACAGACAGCAAAATGGGTGCTTTACAAAAAACAGACATGCCAAAGTGCAAAGCGGGGGGGGGAGAGATACACAGCAGCGCTTCGAAGCCCCACGCCCGCAGCGTAGCCGCATCACAGTGGCACCACGGACGGGACGCAGAGCTCATACGGAGGTCTCCGCACTCTGGCGTCCGCGGCTTCGGGCAGATCGGCCGCAGCGACTCCGACCGCGCTCGCGCCGACAGCGACCGCAGCGTAAGCGACCACGGCGCACAACGGCCCCCTTTACCGCATCCTTCGCCGCAGCGGCCACCACACCGATCGCGCCGGCGGCCATAGCCACCGCCTGGACCAGGACTCCCTACGCCCACAGACACGACTGCGCATCACTACGAGACCGCCGATGATAGGGGCTAACCGAGAGCCAACTCAATTCAGAACGGTGATGATACAAGTGTGGACTTCAACTCAAACATCGACCGAGGCACCTACAAGTCACGTTCAAACTTAGATCACTCAATTTGGTGAACAACACTGCTCATTGTATCATCTTGGTGGTCTGATCAGTCCCAGAACCGTCAAACAAGTTGGTGATACATTCAGCAGTCACTGAATCAGGTGATCGTTCGGCGGCCAACTCAATCAACAGTGGGAGTCGCATGGTACGTACTCCAACGCTTCAATATGACATCGTGGCCGCAACTTCTCTGTATTAGGCAAACGTGTTGCATCAACAAGGCTGAGGGGACTCCCCCATCCCCCCATCTCTCATGGGCCCTCATCACGCATCTCTAAAAGATTCTGGGAGCCTCCAAACGGCTCTTAGAGGCCGCGCACAAGAATATTGATATAAACAATGAAACTGGCGCGACCCCAAGTGGGGGAACACTTCCTGTTGCATGGGCTCAGTGCCTGACATTGCTTGGCATTTCTTGGGGCATTGCTTGCCGCATTGCTTGGGGCATTGCTTGGGGAACCCCGGGAACCCGAAGAACACGAGGAACCCGGGGAACCCGAGGAACCCGAAGAACCCGAGGAACGGGGGGAACCCGAGGAACCCGAGGAACCTGAGGAACAAGAGGAACTCGTGGAGCCCGAGGCACCAAAGGAACCCGAGGAAGCAGAAGAACCCGAAGAACCCGAGGAACCCAGGGAACCAGCGGAACCCGGGAACCCGAGGAGCCCGGGGAACCCGAGGAACCAGGGGAACCCGAAGAGCCCGTGAACCTCCGAGCAACGGCAACGCAAGAATCGGAGGCACCGAGGGCGAGGAACCCGGGAAACCCGGGGAACCACCGAGCAACGGGCAACGTAAGAATTCGAGGCACCAACCTTGCACCAAGTACAGTCGGCCTTGGCCTTGATTGGACAGGACACGCGAGAGGACACGAGACCCTTCCGAGGGCCACATCGCCATAGGGGTGCAAGAAGGCACGTGTCGCGAGGCACAGGACACACGGGTACCCTTGAGCTGGCAGGGTCGACTTACTAATCCGGGCCGACTGTAAGAATCCCTTAGGCACGCATGATTGGGAAACTATGCACGACGATCGGAACCGACTTTCGCTCTGCCTCACTGAGGGAACAACCCACGAGTCAAAGTTGTGCTGCAAGGAAGCTTGGAGAAGGGACGAAGCCCCCCTCTGTCCCCGGCTGCACCCGATAAAAGCAACAAGACTACGCGTGAAGAACCGACGGAGAAAATCGAGCCCCCTCCGAAACCAAAGTGGATCTCATCCCAGAGTCCTGGTATCCGTGGGCAAAAAGCGGATCGAGAAATCCGCAAGTCGAGTCGAATCGGAATGCGCGCGTCGGATCGGACCGCATCGGCACGGAGTCGAAATCGAATGGCATCGGCTGCGCCAAGATGCACAACAGCGCCCTGCAAGCATCGGGCCGCATCGGACCGTCGGATTGCCCGAGTCGACTTGGACCGAGCTGGCCACTGGCACGGATGTTGCAGTGGTGTACCGCTCGAGCTTGTGGTGTGATCGTTCGCTGGGTAACTGCTTCGCCTCCGACGCATCGGGCTCAGCGGGCCCCTGGCGTGGTGACCGAAAAAGCAAAAAAGAGCACTCCTGAGGAGGCGGAGGAGGAGGAGGTGGAGGAGGGAGGAGGAGACGCGTTCCATGTCTAAGGGGGCAAAACTGGGCGAGTCTCGTCGCCCTCCTCCTGCTCCTCCTCACCCCTGAACCCCTGCAAAGGCATTCAACCTGTGTCCGCCCTCCTCGTTTTTCATGGTCACCCTCCTCCCCCTCCTCCGCGGTGAGCCTCCTCCTCCTCCTCCTCTTCCTCCTCCTCCTCTGCCCTGTCCTTATCCCCGCTCATCTGCCTCGTCCTTGTCTAGCTTCCTTCCATCACGCTCCTGCTGCTCCTCTTCGTCGTCCTCCTCCTCCTCCCCTTCCTCCTCCTCTGCTTCGACCTCGGTCTGCTCATTCCTCTCCCGATGCTGCTACCCTCCCCCTCCGCTCGCCTTCGGGTTCATGGCGACCCTTGGCTTCCCGTTGTTGTCCTCAACCTCGAGGGGCATGCCGGAGCAGGAAGACGATGACGACGACGGCTGGAATGAGAGGGGGGAAACAGAGGGAGGAGGAGGGAGGGGGAGAAGGGTGAGGTGGGGGGAGAGGGAGAGGACGAGGCGGAGGGAAGGGCAGAGGCGTTACCACGCAAGGCCCCGGATACTTCGGGGGGGAGCGGGAAGTGTCCTTGACGCGAGCTCGCGCTCGGCATGGTCTGTTCAACGATGCTACTACGTCTACTCCCATCCCAACCACACGCCGTCGTCGCTGTCGCCGCCGACGCATCACCTTGCAAATGCACTCTGTGGCATTGTCTTTCTAACTCCCTCAACCTCCTCCTGGAGTCCTTGAGCCCGACCCTGTGGGCGGCGCATCCACGTCGACAACGGCTCGCCAGCCACCCTCAATGGACTGACTGGTTGAGGTCACTGCAACCGCACATATGATGAAACATAAACGGACGGACACAACTCACACCTCGGACGTGCAGATCGCAGACCCTGGGACCCGCGACACCATCCCACGTCGATTCGAACTGCGTGCGGTTGTTGTTGCTGTGCTCTGGGGTGTTGAAAGAAAAACACAGGCACCAAAACCGCCGTCAAACAGCGCCCATCGTGTTTGTTGCGTAGCCAGGAGGTCAAGGAAAGAGGAAGGGGTGGGAGAGGAAGAGGCACAGAGCATGTGATTTGCTTCCCACCCCCTCGCCAGCGTGACAGGAGGTGTTGCCATTGAGCTCAGGGCACGTCCAAGCCAGCTCAAGCAATGGAACGGCCCAACAATAGCCTGGATCCTCGGTGGGCAAGTCAACGATGCTGCAATACGCCCTCCCCTTCCCGAGGTTCCTCATCATAAGTCCATACCTGCTTCGTTGTCTCTACGGAGGGCGCCCTCTTGAACAACGAGGGCCCCATCTGCTTGCCTTCCAAGCGGGCGTCCGATGTGTGACAAGGGGCCACCACCCCATACTTGTATTCATCACAACTGTCAAGCTGCAGGAACAACACGTGTCAAACGAGAACCTCAATGTAAAATGGAAACGCCTTGCATTCATACAACCGTTGACAACGTAAAATAAGGTAGTGAATCCCACCAGCCCTCTGGGCGTAGGTGGTCTAGAGAACTTTCTCTTTCAACCCCCTTCTTCCCCATCGGGGAGAGGCTTATCACTGTTCCCTATTGATCAGAGGTTGGGGGGTGAGATCGCAGTGGAACGGAGACCCCAAACCGGGAAATCGTTTCGTTTCGTTCGTATCGTGCGTGCGGGCGAGGCGAAGCTGCGTGGGCGCGAGAGAGGAATGAACCCGCCGTTGCTAGGGCGAAGTCAAGACAAATGATTCTCCCCCGTCCGTCCGTCCGTCCGGCGGTGGCCCTAGCGGTGTCCCGCGGTGTCCCGTGGTGTTCGGGCGAAGTCAAGACAAATGATTATCCCCCGTCCGTCCGTCCGTCTGGCGGTGGCCCTAGCGGTGTCCCGCGGTGTCCCGTGGTGTCCCGTGGTGTCCTGTGGTGTCCCACTGTGTCCCACTGTGTCCCGTGGTGTCCCGTTGAGTGAGATCGATAGTGAGATCGATGTGGTGCCCCGAGGTGTCCCGTGGGGTCCCGTGGTGTCCCAAAAAGTGAGATCGATAGTGAGATCGATAATGAGATCGACAGGTGTCCCGTGGTGTCCTGTGGTGCCCCCTTGAGTAAGATCGATAGTGAGATCAAAAGTGAGATCGATAGAGAGATCGATAGTGAGATCGATGTGGTGTCCCGAAGTGTCCCGTGGTGTCCTATGGTGTCCCGTTGAGTGAGATCGATCGTGAGATCGATAGTGAGACCGATGGTGAGATCGAGAGGTGTTCCGCGGTGTCCCGTGGTGTCCCGTGGTGTCTCGTTGAAGGAGATCGATAGTGAGATCGACAAGTGTCCCGTGGTGTCCCGTGGTGTCCCAAAAAGTGAGATCGATAGTGAGATCGATTGAGTCAGATGTTGGTTCCCCTCCCTCTCCCCCCCCACAACCTCCTTATCACCCGAAAGGTGGTCGTAAAGGTATACACCCCTCCCCTAGGCGACCGGCAGCCAATCAGGAACAATGAGGACCCCATAAGGACATCCCCAAAAAACATCATTGTCAAAAACGAACAGGAACACACACTCTGCCTCCATTTTCGGAGCATGCGCAACCAACCCGATGCGCCCCCCCTCACCATCCTTGACAAAAAGCAATACGAATACACTTTGGGGCAAAGTCTGGAATCATGTTCGTGAGGCCCGCGAGCACTTTATCCTGCTTTTGTCAGGGACGGTGGGAGTGTCAGCATATTGCCTGCTGCGCGCAGGATTACCATCCCTGACAAAAAAACCATACAAAATGCTCCTCGCGGCTAAATCTGGATCATGCGCGGCCACCACGCGATCACTGCCAAATGGCTTTTGACAGGGACGGCGGGGGCGGTGGCGTATGGCCCGCTGTGCGCAGGCCGACCAGACACAATGATGGGCATTTGATTTCGAGAAGGGTGGTGGGGCCAACATGTTTTCCGATGTGTGCTGTCACGTGCGCAGTCGCACCTGACACACTCTGCACGTGCCCCGAAAGTGGCGCACCTGGCACGGCTAGAGTATGCGGCACACCTGGCGCACCCGGAGGCACGTGGCGCATCTGGCGCACCAACCGTGCCTGGCACGCTCGGGCTCCAGGGGGGCCTGGCGCGCATGGCGCGCGTGGCGCGCCTGGCACGCGTGGCGCGCCTCGCCCCAGCGTCGCGCACATGGGCTCGGCTTTTTTCTCCCAGTAGTTGTCCATCCAACGACGACCGCTGTACATGCTGAGGTTCGGGTGTTACTTATGTGTTGGGAGGGCGGGTGGGAGTGGACTAGACGGCTTGCTATCTACTTAGGAGGGTGTCTTGATCACTGTTCCTTATTAATATACACCCCTTCCCCCAACCGGCCGGCGGCCATGCCGGAACCATGCCGACTCCATGCGGACCCGCCCCCCACCATCCCTGCCAACAAAACCATACAAACCGCACTCTGCCTCAACATTTGGAGCATGCTGCACCCCCCCGCCATCTCTGTCAAAAAAATACAAAGTACACTTTGGGGCAAAGTCATGCGTCATGTTCGTGAGGCCCGCGAGCACTTTATATTCTTTTTGGCATGGACGGCGGGGTTGTCAGCATATTCCCTGCTGTGCGCAGCGCTACCATCCCTGAGAAAAAAAAACATCACAACATGCACGTCGCGGCTACATCTGGATCATGCGCGGCCATCCCGCGATCACTATCGAGTGGTCTTTGGCAGGGATGGCGGGGGCGGTGGCGTATGGCCCGCTGTGCGCAGGCCGACCAGACACAATGATGGGCATTTGATTTCGACAAGGGTGGTGGGGCCAACATGTTTCCCGATGTGTGCTGTGCGCAGGCGCACCTGACGCACTCTGCACTGCACGTGCCCCGAACGTGGCGCACCTGGCGCGGCTGGAGTGTGCGGCACACCTGGCGCACTCGGAGCACGTGGCGCATCTGGCGCACCAAGCGTGCCTGGCACGCTCGGGCCCCAGGGGGGCCTGGCGTGCGTGTCGCCCATGGCTTGCGTGGCGCGCCTCGCCCCAGCGTCGCGCACATGGGCTCGGCTTTTGTCTCCCAGTAGTTGTCCATCCAAAGGCGACCGCTGCACATGCTCAGGCTCGGGCGTTGCTTGTGTTGGGAAGGCGGGTGGGAATGAACTTGACAGCTTGCCAGCGGGTGGGTCGCTTGATCACTGTTCCCTTTTAGTATACACCCCCTCCCCCAGGCGACTGGGAGCCAACCCGAGCCAATGAGGGCCCCACCCCACCATCCCTGGTAAAAACCAATGCAAAACACACTCTGCCTCCAAATTCGAAGCATGCGCAGCGAACCCGATGCAGCCTCCCCCTACCATCCCTGGAAAACAATGCAAAATACACTTGGCGGCGGCGGCGGCTGCGGCGGCTGCGGCGGAGGCAGCGGCTGCGGCGGCTGCGGCGGTGGCGGCGGCGGTGGCGGCGGCGGCGGCAGAAACGGCGGCGGCGGCGGCGGCGGCGGCGGCTGCGGTGGCGGCAACGGCTGCGGCGGCAGCGGCCGCAGCGGCAGCGGCTGCGGCGGCGGCGATTCGGCAGCGGGGGCGGCGGCGGCGGCGGCGGCGGCGGCGGGCGGCACGGTGGCGGCGGCGGGGAGGACAACGGCGGCGGCGGCGGCGGCGGCGCGGCGGCTGCGGCGGCGGGCGGCGGCGGCGGCGAAATATGCTGCTAACTGTACAAAGACGGCTGCTGAATATGCTGCGGCTCGGGCCAGGCTCGGGTGCTACGTATGTGTTGGGAGGGCGGGTGGGAGTGAGCGAGACGGCTTGCGGGCGGGGAAGGAGTCTTGATCACTGTTCCCTATTAATAAACACCCCCTCCCCCAGGCGACTGGGGGCCAACCCGAGTCCATGCCGACACCCCCCCACCATCCCTTGTAAAAAACAATACAAAACACACTCTGCCTCCAAATTCGGAACATGCGCAGCCAACCCGATGCGCCCCCCCCCCGCCATCCCTGTCAAAAAACAATCCAGAGTACACTTGGCGGCGGCGGCGGCTGCGGCGGCTGCGGCGGCGGTGCGGCGGCGGCGGTGGCGGCGGCGGCGGCGGCGGGGGCGGCGGCGGCGGCGGCGGCGGCGGCGGCGGCGGCGGCGGCGGCGGTGGCGGCAGCGGCTGCGGCTGCGGCGGCGGTTTGACAGCGGGGGGCGGCGGCGGCGGCGGCGGCGCGGCGGCGGCGGCGGCGGCGGCGGGCAGCGGCGGCAGCGGCGGCGGCGGCGGCGGCGGCGGCGGCGGAGGCAGCGGCGGCGGCGGCGGATTGGCCCCCAGTAACTCCCCATCCCAAGACGACTGCTGAATATGCGGAGGCTCGGGCCAGACTCGGGTGCTACGTATGTGTTGGGAGGGCGGGTGGGAGTGAGCGAGACGGCTTGCGGGCGGGGAGGGGGTAACTTGACCCCTCCCCCTACCCCC